AGATGCTGTCTCCTGAAAGCCACACCTAACTTGCTGGCCATCTCATACTTTTTCTTGCTTTGGCTTTCTTTCACCTATGACACCCAGGAACATCTGAACAGGCACTCCTGACCACAGACCTTGCAACCTTCAAACAACTATTCTACTATCCAGGGATGCCAGAATGTAACAACTAATAATAGTAGTTTTACATAGTATGTTTTACATACATTTACATAGCACATCAGGTTTGAAAAGTATTATGCATATGTTAACTCATTTGATCTTCACAACAACCCTAGGAGGTTGGTGCTTTATTACTTTCACTTTACAGATCAGGGACCTGAGGCGGAGAGCAGTTAAGTAACTTGTTCAGAGTCACACAGCTAGTAAGTGTCTCAGGTCTTCCTGGTTCCAAGTCCAGGACTCTATCCACAGGGCCACTTAAAATATGTGTAAACTACATCAAGATTTCTATCAATCCAATAAACAATTACTAAGGACTACTATGTCCCAGGCACCTTGCTAAGAGCTGGAGATACGATTAATAAAAAGATAATCCCTGCCCTCAAGGAGGTTACATTCTAAAGAAGGAGACAACACATAGAAGGAGGCAGAAGGGAGAGGGGTGCATGGGACAGCAGAGGGTCCTGGGGAGTAAGCATCTGGTTCCATGGAGGTGAAACCAGAAAAAGCAATAGAAGCAAAGTAAAGTGAGCTGAAGTTCAGTTTCTGTACTCTATAAAAGGCGGCACTAGGAGGAGTTTGGTACTCCACCCTACAGCCCTCCAATCAGAGGGGAGAGAAGGCTAAGGGAGCTGGTGTCAATCAAGGCTTAAGTTAGCAGCACAGTGGTGTGTTTAAAACTGGTGAGCTTATTCCTTCATCTTCATCCTCCTTCATCTTCAACCTTTCAAATGCTAAGCAAGCCTAGGAAAGGAAAATTCCAACTCAAAGGGCAATCAGACTTCAACCTTACATAGATTTTCAACTGAAGTGTGGACATCCATGCCCAGGACCAGATCCAAATATTACTCATACTCAATGGCTAGAGCCCTGTGTGACTCTGGGCAAGTCTGCCTCAGTTTCCTCAACTGAGGATAATAATAGCATCTTTTATGTTAAAAGGATCAAGTGAGATAATATTTGTAAAGCACGTAGTACAGTGCCTTACATACAGTAAGTGTTTAACAAATGCTTATTAAAAGTTTTAAAGTTACAAAGACCACAGATTTCATCCAGTCCATTGTACAGACCCTGAAACTGAGACTCAAATACAGAAATTTGTCCTGATTTGCCCAGTCAGATACCTTTTCATTGGCCAAGAGCTCACATTGGCATTGACAGGTTCCTCAAGCAGCCCCCTTCAGAAGAGAGGGGTGTTTGAAGCTGCTAGAATCCCTTCTCTGCGCCACAAGTGACTGATCTATTTTCTTGGCTAAGCTGAATTTCTATACTTTAGCCCTCTTTCTTTTCAGCTACAAAATGGGTGTGACAATTACAAACCTGTAATCAGGTAATATCCTTTTTCCAGCCCCCTGATAATCTGAAGATAGGCAGAAAGGTGTTCTCAGAAGATGACCTACAGAACCCTTGTTTACAAACTCATTAGCTATCCAGGGATCTTGATCACTGAAGATGTAGCTTGACTTACTCTTACTACATCCTAGCATTTCTGCAAATGTTTGTTTTGTTAACTGCACTGATAATCAAAGTATTCAAGTACTTCCCTTATCCATTCTTCTAGAGATCCAAGAATATACTGAACTTAAGCAAAGCTCCTACAATGGAATGGGGTAGGGGTAGTAAAGGAAACCTGGCTATTTCTCCACACTGGAGACACCACAAGGTATTCGGGACAACAGAATACTGTTTTTGAAGACCAAAGACAAATTCCAGTCACCCAAGCCAGTCATTTCACCTCTGAGTCTCAGTTTCCCAGCATGTAAGTCTTTCCACAAATGTAGATTACACACCTCTTCTCTCCCACCCCCAATCCCCATCTCCTCAGCCCTTCAGTAGAACTGTCTTCATGAGTTACAATAGACCAAAAAAATTCCATCAGCTGAAGATGGTCAACTTGTCAATGAAGACTCTATGCAAACTTAGCTCAGATGGCAAAATTAGTCCTTCACCAGGTCTACACTGGGAGCCTTTCCAGCTTGGTATAGGGTCAGGGTTTCACTGGCTGAACTTTTGAGAACTCAATGTCACCTCTGGGACAAAATAAAGCAAAAAGGTAAGGTCTGTTAGGAGGTTCCTCATTTGTAAAATGGCAATAACAATACCTATTTGACACAATACACCTGTGAGGATAGGAAAGCAAAATAGGGCCAAAAAAATATGAACAACTGTTACTAACACTTCCAGAGAGGAACTGCTATTCTGGACCTAATTAGATTCAGCTCAACTCCAGCCTGGGGATTACAAAGATTTTAAAATGACTTGGTCCCTGTCCTCAAGGAGCTTACAATCCATTTTGGGGAGAATATAACATGTACAGACAAATGTGTAATGTAAAAGAAAGTGTAAGGTAAAAGATAAAAAACAAAGACCCTGGAAACGGACGGAAGGAAATTTTGAGGAGGGAGAGAATACTTCGAGATAGAAGAATCAGGAAAGAGTTTAAAGAGGAGGCGACATTTGAATTGAGCCTGCAGGGAAGAGATGGATTCTCAGAGTTGAAGAAATACCTTCCAGGTATGGAGAATGGCCAATATTATTGCACGGAGGCAGAAGACTGCAAATCAAGTTCAAAGAGCAGCTAGTAGTCCAGTTCAGCTAAAATGCTGAGTGTGTAATGGAAAGCCACATGAACTCAAGCTGGAAAGGAAGGCCAAGCCAGATTTTGGAAGACCTGAAGCATCAAGCTAAGGAATCTAAATTTTTTCACCTAGGGGCAACAGGATGCCACTGAAAGTTTAAGTTAAGAAACAATTAGATCAGATCTATACATTAGAAAGATTTTTGTCAACTGTAAAAGATGAACTGGAGTCGGGGAGACCAGTTAGTTACAAAGCTATTACAATAGTCCAAGAAAGAGGTGATGAGGGCTTAACCAAAGGTGGCAGGAGAGAACCCAAATATAAGAAATTTGGAGAAGGTACAACTAAAGGACTTGGCAACTGATTTGATCTGAGGGACAAGTAAGGGTCAAAGATAATACCAGCTTTTCCAGACTCCATAAATGGAAAATGGTGGTGCCATCAAAATAAACCTCAAAGTTAGAAGTTAAGGCAGGATTAGGAGAGAATGATGAAGAGTGCAGTTTTCAACATGTTGAGACTGATGTGCCAAGCAGAGCATCCAGGTGGTGATATCCAGAAAGCAGTTGGGGCTGGTGATGCAAGATTAAGTGCAAAGAGGAGATTAGAGCCATTGGCTAATACCAATTTGGAAATAATTTGCATAGAGATGATAATTAAATCCACGGGATCTGATGAGATCACCAAAGGAGAGAGTAGGGAGAGGTTGTAGGATAGTGCCTTAGGGGTACTCACACTTGGAGGACTAGAAGAGGACTGGTCAATAAAGGAGTACTCTGACAGGTAGAAGAAAAAAAACAGTGTCACAGAAGTCTAAGGAAGACAGAGTATCCAGGAGAAGGAGGTGGTGAATGGTGTCAAATACTATTAAGTTTAACATTTATCCTTGTGGGCAGAGACTAAGTCTGATTTTACCTCTTTACCCCCAGCAATTAGCATAGGGCTTTACACCTAGTGGGAGTTTAATAAATGTTTACGGAATTTAACTAAATTCATCTCAAGTAGTCTCCTTAACCCCAAGCCAAAGAACAAATAGTCCAACTCCCGAGACCCCTAGCCAAGAGTCACTTTAGCCTAACAAGGTGCTCA